GTGTGTGTATATATATGTGTGTGTGTGTGTGTGTGTGTGTGTGTGTGTGTGTGTGTGTGTGTGTGTGTGTGTGTGTGTGTGTGTGTGTGTGTGTGTGTGTGTGTGTGTGTGTGTGTGTGCATACTTGTGACCATGTGCATATGCATGTTTAGATAGTCCATGTGTAAGTGTGTGAGTATATACATGTCAACATAATGAGTAATTAAGCATACATGTGCAGGGCTCACAAAATTTCAAAATCCCTGGCTGCCCTTTTGTGCAAGTGTTTTTTTTAAATTTCTCCTGGGGTATAATTCAGGATAGTCTGATGATATGTTTATCAAACTGTCCAGGGACAATGGACTAGCAATTTTGTGAGCCCTAGTGTGTAATTATGTATGAATCAATGAAAAAAAAACACCAGTGCTATACAGTATAGAACTGAAAATAATAATGGAATATTCTATAATACACAGCCAATACTTCAAAAGGTATTCCATACATTTAGTTTGAAAATTTTTCATTTGGTGACCACTACTATACAATACAAACTTGTACTTCACACTTGAAATTTAGGCTCATCTAAATACCTATTTGCATTTCTAGATTTCTTCAAAAAATATCTCCAAATACCTTCATCATACAGTTTTATGTATCCAATTCCAAGCTACATTTTTCACATGCAAATCCTCCTCAATAGTGATAAATAAGAAAATTTTGGAACAATACTAGAAAAAATGAAGGGAGAGCCATGACCCTGTTATACCATCTCTCTACATAAACTAGATGTATTTACATATGACAAGAATTCAGCATTCCTCATTTCTATACATTTTCCTGCAATATGAAGCAGTAAGGAAAAAGAACAGAAAAACAAGAGAAGAAAGACTATCTATATATACATATCATAACCTAAAAATGAGGATAGTATTGTAAGACAAAACAACTCATGAAAAAGAGAAAAGAATCTAAATTACCAAACTACCTCAAATTCATATCACAATATATCAACCACTTACTTGTACCCATCAACATAGTCTTCCCTGAAAGTGGGAAATTTTGTTATTAGGATCATATACTAGTTGCCATACAATATTATATCCCTTCTAACTTGGCTTTGTATGTGTGTGTATTTACATGTGAGTAATCACATAATGCACACATATTAATATATTTAGATATAACCTTTTTTTTTCTCTCACTTTCTCTCCCAAGTGAAACATACAAAAAAATGGTTATTGTCTAAAATCACTTAGAAGCTGGCAATTGCATATCAAGTAATTAAATCACCACAGAACAAAAGCAGGATTATAATCCAGTCAAATCTCAGAACAAGCTTTTACCACTTAAACTTTGTAGATGACTGCTCAAGTGTATATTTACATGTTGTGTGATGTGCACAGGATTACTGTATTAGACTACAAAATACAGTGAACAACAAGCTGTTAATTTCCTTACATAATTGATCTGAGTATGACCATGTTAGAAACTCCCTGATGGGTTCCTGATCTATCTTTGTAAGAACTGTTAGTCTAACTAAATGTTAAATATGCCCTTACAAAATGGAAGTTATTAATATTTTAGGAACTGCATTAAACATCTTTAGCACATTATACAGCAGTAATGTAGCAGATTACAAATTCCATTTTTTTTAAACAAGCATACAGAACTTGATCTAGACATGTAATACCAATTAAAGTCACAATTTTACTTACGCATCCTCGTCTGTGGTGATTGTTCCAATCTTACTTTCCTTTACAACTGTGATTGCCAGAAATTTGTTGATCTGAAAGTTTCCAAATTTTCAACAAGAATATTCCTGTACTAAATGGTCATCAGTATTCCCATAACACCAACTCATTTGCTGTATAGTCTACACACATTATAGTCATTTTTAAAAATTTAACCACATTCCTTACCTTCCACAGTTGGTGCAGATTGCCATGCGTGATTTTGGTAAATAATGGGAAGCGTTCGTGATTAATCCAGTCAGCGAGTGATGTGTTGACAACAGTTAGATTCTCTGCTATTTCACTCTCGTCAGGTACTGCAATATTTCAATTAGAAATCATAAAATCTCTTTCCTGATATTCAGAAAAGCAAGAATTCTCTTCACATGTAATAACTTTTTATTTTTCTTCAATAACATATCAGATGATTATATTTTTTCTAAGAACTGTTTGGAGTATAATGTAGGATAGGATTACAGACAGTTTAAAAATATATGTTAAGTAAGTTTTCCAACCTGGGAAGAAATAATTTAGGCCATCTTTGAAGACTAGAATAGCAGGGTTGTACTCCAACTCTGTTTGCTGCAAAACAGAAAGAAAAATATAAGAATAGCTTATGAATAATACCATGGATAAAGGAAAATTAAAATTAATATCTCAATGAATAATGGATTATCAATACATTCCTCAATTACATCGCTTTTAGCATCCAAAAAAAACTGCATTCCAAAATACACTGGTGTGAAATATACTTCAATAGTAGCAAAAGTCACAGAATTCCCTTCTGTTTAGTAGCAGTCAAATGAAAATTTTATAAACTAATTCCACGGAATGCCTTATGACATACAGCAATGCTTATGCATTAACCTTAGTTACAACACCTCACTTGATTACTTGATTCCTTGAATTTCAGGGCAATTTCTTTTTTTGTAATACTATCTTTATTGTTACTATAATCATTACTGTTATTATTCTCATTGACTTTTAACATATCATAATGTTGGTAACAATACTAACAGAAATTAAAAAACAATAAGAAAATTCCAAAAAATAACGGAAAGGGGTAAATAGGTGAGATCAGGTAAGCTTAGAAATTTACTTCATCATAACTAAGTGCTTTTGGAGCCATTTGTTGAAACAAAATTATCAAACTAAAATCAAAGGGGACTGAAATCATATGTAGACTCACAATCAAAACTCTTGTCAGACACATTTCAAATTCAGTTTCAAACATCCGCTTAATACCACACTTTTTATATAGCCTGAGACAGATTCGAGGCTGAAATTCATGACATGACCATCACTGTACATCATTAACAGGTTAATGAATATTCCAATATCATCTTTAATTCTACGATCTATATACATATTAGCTCCAGTTTTAAGAAATTGTATTTTGCACCTTTATCTGGTTTTAAAGTATATTTACCAATATCTTTATAAAAGGATTAATGTTTTGTGCTTTTAAAAATAGCAAGATGACATACAGACAGGCATAAAACACAGAGACACATATCACACATACATGAACACACACATACTCTCATACATATGCACTCTCTCAAAACATATACACAAGCACACACCAACACATGTATGTATATATATATATAATATATATATATATATATATATATATATATATATATATATATATATATATTTACATATAAAGAAACAGATCCTTTAATTCAATGATAAAGCAAACAATATTACAACCATTAACACTATCTTACCTCTGCCATACAACCAGCATCAATTGAGTAGAAGTAGTTGAAGGGTCTATATATATTTGCTAATTCAGAATAGGCATCCTGTAACAAAGTAAAGACAAATTAGAACATAAACCAAAGAGGGAGAGAACTAAATAAAGAAAGAGAGAGAGAGAGAGAGAGAGAGAGAGAGAGAGAGAGAGAGAGAGAGAGAGAGAGAGAGAGAGAGAGAGAGAGAGAGAGAGAGAGAGAGAGAGAGAGAGAGAGAGAGGAGAAGAAAGAGAGAGAGAGAGAGAGAGAGAGAGAGAGAGAGAGAGAGAGAGAGAGAGAGAGAGAGAGAGAAGAGAGAGAGGAGAGAGAGAGAGAGAGAGAGAGAGAGAGAGAGAGAGAGAGAGAGAGAGAGAGAGAGAGAGAGAGAGAGAGAGAGAGAGAGAGAGAGAGAGAGAGAGAGAGAGAGAGAGAGAGAGAGAGAGAGAGAGAGAGAGAGAGAGAGAGAGAGAGAGAGAGGAGGAGTGAGAGAAGAGAGAGAGAGAGAGAGAGAGAGAGAGAGAGAGAGAGAGAGAGAGAGAGAGAGAGAGAGAGAGAGAGAGAGAGAGAGAGAGTGAGTGAGTGAGTGAGTGAGTGAGTGAGTGAGTGAGTGAGTGAGTGAGTGAGTGTGTGTGTGTGGTGTGTGTGTGTGTGTGTGTGTGTGTGTGTGTGTGTTGTGTGTGTGTGTGTGTGTGTGTGTGTGTGTGTGTGTGTGTGTGTGTGTGTGTGTGTGTGTGTGTTGTGTGTGTGTGTGTGTGTGTGTGTGTGTGTGTGTGTGTGTGTGTGCTGCACCATGTTATACATGCACGCGCACATGTATAACATGGTGCAGTGTGGTGTGGTGTGGTGTAGTGACATGACGTGACATGACATGAAATGACGTAATGTGACATGACGTGAAATGACGTAATGTGACATGAAGTGACATGGCATAATGTGTGTCGTGTGTCACGTGCAAGTTTCAAAACATACATACTTCCATAGATATGCTCAAGCAATTATATGCAAAGACAGCATGAATCCTTAAAGTGGAAGTAACACTTAGCAAGAAACAGGAAACCATATAAATCAGCATCAATATGGCTTCAAACTTACTCCTTCCAAATTCTATTACAAACCAATGATCAAAATATATATTATCATGAAATAAATACAGAGATATTGTACTTCTAATCTCACTGATCATTTTCAAAGCATTAAAAGCTAATTCCAGATACTATGTATATTCTACAAAAAAAAAAAAAAACTAAGAAAACCTTCCTCATGAGCAATGAAATATCCAACTTACCCATAATGGACCTTCCTTCTCCCCCGCATACACAAAGAACAGATCTTCCTGCGCAATGATGTCTTTCAAGTGATGGAACGATGCTATATGCTGAATCGGAGGAGCTGCCATACGGACAGCATATCCAACTATGTCCTCTTTGGCTCGGTCACCAGTGTAGGTGTGTTTTGTGTCCCCTTTGAGACTGCAATGATGAATGTGCCTTTTATTATCAATTCTTCTGTTTCCTGTTTTTGAGATATCATATACAACTTTGAGGATAATAACTTACTTTGGAGAGACATTGATAAAAAAATAAAAAAGTAAATGAGAAGAAATATATTATCCTTTGATATATCCTTTGTTTTATGCTTCTATGCTAATCGTTGTCACAACTACATACATGAATTTCCTCATCATATACAGCAAGTCCTCAGTATATCAAATTTGCCCTTACCTCTTGCTTTCAATAAAGGCAATTAGTAGATGTTATGAAGCTAATTATCAGCCAGTCTCAGTATAAGTACATATTATTGAAACCACTTACTACATAATGGTGGGGAAACCCTTGATATTAAATTCTGTTGCCACTGCTGTGAAACGTGTACAATCAACACGTCCAACACGGATTTCTGTGCCATACAGTGCATGTGCAACATGGTTCCACACTGGGTCTAACTTCTTGCAGTGTCCACACCATGGAGCATAAAACTGGAATGTTAAGAAATGTAAGAAGCACTTAATTCTAATATTCATATACATCCAATATACACACTATATACTATTATTTGTTAAAAAAAGGTAATTCTTTACAGTACAAATGCACTTGCAAAGAAATTAAATTCCTAACTCCTAATAAAAAAATTGATTCAGCAATCTAAGTTGCCAAGACTGGTTACAACACTCCACAGCAAATATTATCTTCACCTCAATATGCATGGCAAGATAGAGCTGAAATTCAGGAGCAATTCTGTTTGCAATCTTTTTCCTTTCTTTGTAGCATTACTGTTCGTGTCTGCAGGTTATTTCTTATACCAATTACTGTAACTTTTTTTTATAAGAATATTATCATCAAAGTGTACTAGCTAATCACATCCATACAGTAAAGATTAACCAGAAAAACTATTCATACAAAATTACATAAACATTCATTAAATTACATTACAAAATCATCTATTCTAGTTGACAGAAAAGTTTTTGATCACAACTGAATATCAGCTTACCATGATAAGCCATGATGACTCGCCTCGCAGCTCCAGAAAACGATCGCTTAATTCCAGCACACGGTTGGCAGAATTACTCAATGCCAAAACTGTTGAACAGAACATTAATTCTATTAGTAGTTGATTAGTTTTCACTTACACCAAGTAACCAATTAAGTAAGTAATTTATCAAAGATACAAAAAATTGTGTACTGGTTTGCGAGAACAAATATGGGTAACTGTTTGCATGACACCTGAATATCCACGAGTCTCCCTCCGCACTTCTGGCACTCCAGTAAATACCATCATACCTCCACAACATATATACAAGCAAGATGGAGCTTGGAGACCTCACCGTTAATCTACAATCAAAAGGAAGTAGTTCAAACTCCATTTCAGCAAAATATGTGCTGGGTGGAGTTTTACAGCGTTTTGTGCTGGGACCATGACAGTTACTTGACACTTTCCTGCTCCTAAACTGGGCTTGAAATTACATATTTAAAATCACTGATACTGGTAAGTTTCATGTGTAAAAGAGTCCTGTTACGGAAGCTCTTCACCAGTTTTGGAAGCATTTACCCAAATACATTTACTGAAATTTAGTTTTGAACATGAAATTACACAGCTGCATACCTTTATAAATATCTACCATTTATAATACTATTCAATTATGTCCATCTTCATCATAAATTTTGAACTTAGTCTCAAATGATAGTAATTTAAATGCTCTATCACATAGCATTGCTGAAGCTAAAATACAAGTATACCCAATAATCTTCACACTTCCATCTATTCAGCCAAGCAACAAGTAATACTAGGATATCTCGAAATTCTACGCAAAAGAAATATAGACAAGAAATTAATCAAAAATAACCTGTATTTACACTACACCTTATCTACTCTTTGAATTAGTGGTCTGCTGATGGAATACATAACATCCATTCAAAAATCTGCCTTTACAAATATCCTACGTAAACATGTATTAATTTAACGAAACGTATCACTGCAACCTAAGCCCATAAGACTCTTAACAAATGGAAATATCACAAACTAGAAATAATAAGTGACGATAATAAATCAAGAATCCCGGCAACAAATTCACCAGAGGATTCTGGTCGATATCCTCAACTATCTTCTTTCCGGTCCTCATGTCCAATTTCAAATACCTTTTCCACTCCCTTTGATTTCTCTATACTTTACTCATTGTTGGGGGTAATTATTTCACTTTAAAAACGCCCAAAACACCTGAAATTCACAGACCTGTCATGAAGACAAGCAACCTCATAGCGTCCATGTTGTTGTCTTCTGCTAGGCGGCTTCTGATTGGTCGAGGAGACTGGCACTGCTAAGCGGCTTCGGATTGGTCGAGGCAAGTGGCACTGCTAGCCGGTTTATGAATGTTCGAGGAAGGTGGCACGGTTGAAGAGGGTCTGCCTGGTTGACGAGGATGGCACTGACAAGTGAATTGATCGTGTAGGATGACAATTACTACGAAAGATTTTGATTGCCTGAGAAGGGATGGAAAAATTAGCCAGGTTTAGGGTGCTCCAGAAACGCGGCACTGCTATACTACCGACTGGTCA